TACTTGTCTAAATTTAAGCATACTGATTTTTAAGTAAAGTCAATAAAGTTTAGGTACATCGAAGTTTTTACAATACCGGCAACTATTGTTTAAATATTTAATTTTTCCCTAATTTTTTATAAAAATATGGTTAGTTCTACACCAAAAACCCCAAAAGTCAGAGTTCCAAACCTTATGCAAAATTAAAGAAAACTCCGCAAATTTCCATCCAAATATTGCAATTTACACTCTTTAGAAAAAAGTTAAGTACGCAGTTTTTTAGCCCATTCAATTTTAGTATAACAAAGTGCAAGTTTGAGGCAGCTAGGACTTACCATTGATATTTAGCAATTTTTTGTTGTTGTTTGGTAAGTCCTAGCTTCCTCATACTTGCACTTCATTATACTAAAATTGAATGGGGTAAAAAACTGCAAACTCAACTTTTTCTAGAGAGCGCAAATAGAAAGTGAATTATTTTAATGAAATTTTGCAGAATTTTCTTAAATTTTGCACAAGGTTTGGAACTCTGATTTTTGGGGATTTTATAAAAAATTACCGAAAACTAAAATATTTAAAAAATAGTCGCCCGTATTGTAAAAAATTCGTTGTACCTAAACTTTATTGACTGACTGTATTAAGGTAGCTGTCCTGGATTGCATAAAACAAAAATTAATTTGTCTTTTCGTAAAAAAAAGGTAGCTCTGGTGGCTTGCATTTTTAAATAAATTTAGGGACAAAGTGGTAATTATTTTGACACTTTTTTTGAATGCCTCTTTTTCTGCAACTGCATTGCCTTTCTCAATTGTCCTTCAGGATCTTGGCCTTTGTTTATGGAATCACTAAGTATAATGATTATTAAGCAACTCAAAAACTATACCAGCGTGATTACCGACGTATCCTTTTGAGAGGTAGCCGCACTCTTATAAGAGTAATAAGACCCAAACTTTTCAGGTCAAAATTTCAGTAGGTTGCGTCTGTATGGCCTTTTCAATTTTATAAATTATCATTATTTTTAAGTGGAAAAATAAAACTCAAAATTAATGATAATCTCTGCGCGAAAAAATAAAAATCATAAAATAATCATTATTTGTAATGCCAAAAATAAAAATCAAATAATAATTATTTCCGTTTTATTATTTTACTCATAATGATTACCTTCCCTGCTTTTAAAATTTGAAATAAAATAGTTTATTGAAAGTGTGACATTTCACTGCTTTTGGACTGGTTCGGGACTAGTTACTATCGGACTGGTTCATTTTTGGCGAAAAAGAACTAGTACTGAACCAGAAATTTGGTTCACTAGTTCGTGTTTTCCCTACAGGGCTATTATAGGAGTATGTGTTGAAAGAATGTGTAATAGTTTTCAAATTTAGCAACTGTTAGGCGCAATTTCAAATAGCGTAGAGATTGTTGATTAATTTCCAGTATTCATTTTCAGATCATACATTTAGTCTGCACTTAAATGGCCAATTTTGCTATTTAAATATGAAATATGCAACCCTGTGTTTATACCAAACAACCAAGATTGATTGGTAGGTTGTTTAATCAATCCCACCAAATCCCACTTAAAACAATCAGCTGTTCAGCGGAAAATGTAAGCAAACAAGCAAATGCAACAACAATTTAAAGGAATAAGCAGCAGTGCTGGCAATTGTTTGGCATATTTAAACAAAGTTGATCTGAAACCCAACGAAAGCTAAATGGCATTTAAACAACAATCCACAATCAAACTTAAGTGCCGTTTAAATATTAATTTGAAATTCTTACTTTTGACACAAAACTCAGCCTTTGAGAGCCCGTACTTACTGACTTGCTTAGTTTTTATTTCTATAACCAATTAACCAAGCTCAGGATGAAACAAGCAGTAACTCCAAGCATTTTCGTTTTAATAAGACCCGTTAAATAAGTTGCTTAATTTTAACGGGATTTGTTAGATTTTTTGAAAGATTTTGTTAAACTTTATTTTTCGGGCGCGGCAACACTGAGTGGAACCACATCTCCCGCTCATTAAGTACCGCCGCCGAAGAAGTAGTGGGATTTCAGTGAGCCCGAAAGAACAACTGGTACGATGAGGAGTGTCAGGAAGCTGCAGAGAAAAAAGATGCCGCCTACAGGGCCACGCTGCGAGCGGGAGCAATGCGCGCTATGCGGGACCGATATAGGGATCTGAAGAGGGAAGCGAGACGCATTTTCCGCAATAAGAAGAGAAAGGCCGAAATACGTGAGTGCGAAGAGCTTGAAATGCTGGCCGACAAGAAGAATGCCCGAAAATTTTACCAGAGAGTTAGGCGACTTACGGAAGGTTTCACAACAACAATTCCGACCTAGTTACCGATGTTCAGAACGTACTTAAATTATGGAGGGAACACTTTTCCATCATACTGAATGGTAGCAGTACGGAAAGTTGTGGAGAAGAAGAGCCGAGCCCCAGTCGACGATGACGGAGTCGATTTTCCTCCGCCTGACTATGACGAGATACGAACAGCAATAACGCGCTTGAAAAACAACAAAGCTGAAGGAGCTGACAGCCTGCCAGCATAAGGTGCATGCATCAACTCTTATGCAGATTATGGTCAGATGAATGCATGCTCGACGACTGAAATCTAAGTGTGCTCTGCTCAATCCACAAAAAGACGACCCCGCCATTCGCGCCAACTACCGCCGGATCAGCCTTCTAAGCATATATTACAAGGTCTTATCGAGAGCGAAAGACTGAAGCTCCCCGTCAATGAACTGATTGGGCCTTATCAGTGCAGCTTTAGGCCTGGAAAATCCACCATAGACCAGGCATTCACAAATCTTGGAAAAGCCCCGCGAGAAAAGGTTCGACACTCACCACCTATTTGTCGACTTTAATCCCGTTTCCGACAGCACTAAAAGGAGTTTCCTATACGCCGCTATGTCTGAATTTTGCATCGCCACCAACGGGGTTTTAGACAGGGCGACTCCCTTTCATGTACCTTCTTCAATCTGATGTTGGAGAAGATAAAAAGAGCTGCAGTACTGAACCGCTCAGAGACCATTTACTACAAGAGCGTGCAATTGCTGGCTTTCGCCGATGACATCGATATCATCGGTAACACAAACCGCGAAGTCCGTTCTGCCTCTTCCAGGTTTGATAAGGAAGCAAAGCGAATAGGTCTGGTGGTAAACGAGGGCAAGACGAAGTATCTCCTGTCATCAAACCAACAGTCAGCACATTCGCGCCATGGCACCCACGTCACTGTTGGCAGTTATAATTTCGAGAAAGTAGAGAATTTCGTTTACTTGTGAAACAGTAATAACACCAATAACAATGTCAGCATGGAAATCCAACGCAGAATCACTCTTGTTAACAAGTGCTACTTTGGACTGTGTAATCAATTCAGGAGGAAAGTCCTCTATCGACGAAACCTCACTCTATAAGTCACTCATCATGCCCATGCTGGTATATGGCGCAGAAGCATGGACAATGACAACATCCGATGAGGCGGCGGAGTATTCGTGAGAAAGGCCCCCCTGCGATGGAAATACCAGGTGGAGAAGGACTTGACTTCACTTGGCATTTCCTATTGGCGTCGGTTGGCACAGAAAATAAACGACTGGCGTACTTTGTTGAACTCGGCCAAAATCGCTTAGGCGACTACAGCGCCAAATAAGAAGAAGAAGGCAGTTAATAGTGAAATGGCTTTTGTGAATTTTACTGTATTTCAAAAGAAGTATTGAACGAAATATTCGGGAAATTATGTGTATTATGTAATTTATGTGATATTTAGGGGTATCGGCGGCCGCTGTGGTGTAGTGGCTAGCTGTGCGCGCCACCATTTCGCAGAGCCCTAGTTCAAGCCAGCGTACGGACTTCGATTTTACATACCAAAAATGGTAGAGGTTGGTAGATTTCTTTAAAAGAAAATTAATACATATATAGTTTTCACTCGTAAAGGATAAAGCAAGCCGGATTCATAAAAGGTGGCGTTACCAGAGCAGCTGAATTTTCGCCTCGGTGGTGCTTATTGTCAAAATCTATACATAAAACTGGGCCCGAATCACAGCATCCGTGGTCGACTGAAATTCGATTTGATTCGAGTGAGATGCAATTTAAACTGCGGATTTTTATGCAGAAAACAGAGCCTAAAAATATGTACCACTTTGCTTATAATTATGTGAAACATATTTCTAGGCACAATACGTGACCCCTTATATGTTCTTTATTTTTTACCTGCGCCAAATAAAGTTGGTATCGTTGCAATCAGCGTAAAAAGCGCTACAAATCCGCATTTTTGGTTATGTATTTATAGCTACACGGTCGCTATTCTAGACGTCTTCCAGAAAATTACGCAAACGAAAGTGATGCCAACGAACATTTAGTATGAAGAATTATTGGTTTTACTACTAATATAACTAGAAACTGTAGAGTGAGCAATATTCTGCGCAAGTAAAGGAGAATGTTTTATGTGTGGGAGCGAGAAGACTGTTTTATTATAAAATCTTTCTATTATTGAATCATGATGTATACCGTTCGTTCATTTAAAACTGTTTGCTTTCTTTCCGGAAAATAAAAAACAAACAATTTTTTTTCTAATAGCGGTTGCCCCTCCGCAGGCAATGGCAAACCTCGGAGTATATTCTGCCACGAGAAACAGCTTCTCATTAAAGTACAATCGCCGTTCGGAGCCGGCGTAAAACTGTAGGTCCTTCCCCTTTGTGTGACAACATCATGGCGCACGCCACAAATTGGAGAAGAAGCTCGACCAAACACTAACACATTGTGTAAGTGCCAATCTAGAATTATTGTTATTATTAGGGGTACAAAAAGTGCGAAATGTTTCAAAATACGAAAAACTATAATGAGTTAAGTGAAAATATCACTACACATTGTAAATTCTTTATATTAAATATGTAAGTATAATGTATAAAAATGCACATATGCACATGTACTACTATTCTACACGTAAAGCTACTATTTTTCAAGTAAATTTATCACCTGTTAGGCATTGGCGCGCGAATTTCGTGAACAAAATTACTATGCTTCTGAATGTTAAAAGGTTAATCTACAATGGAATTAGCAATGAGAAATGATCTTCAGAAGCTAGTTAGTTACATTGTTTTCTTGAAGAAGGCATTCTGGCAATGGAATTGCTTCTCAAATTGAATGCAGCTTACGTTACGTTTGGATGATTTTTGACAGCCAATGTGTGTGAAAAATTTAAATGCAAAATTTATTGTCTGTCGTCAGCGTAAATCATGAATCTAAATTGATTTTATTAAAGTTTTCAATCAAGCCTGTGCCTTATTTGCAGTTGACGAGCTTTTTCTATCATAGTTAAAATTTTTTTGGTCGACTCCTCTGCAACGGCATCAGATTGTGATTGGGGTTGTAAATTATCCTCTTTTGGCGCTTCTGTAGACATCGGTGCTGTAAGAATTTCATTCTGCGGTAGGTGCGAAGTAGTGGCCTCTTCTTTAGATTCTCGCATAACCTCAATCGGTTTAAGCGATGTTGATACCACCATTTCTGAAGGACGCTGAGTTGACGAATTCGTCTGAAATAATGTTGCTGGATATTCTTCCAGTTGCGATACAACATTCACGCCATAACGTAACGGCTCAAAATATTTGAAGTATCCATTGATGATTCTTTGCATGTAAGAGGCATCGAGCCAGGTGGCGTCGACCCTAAGACAGGATGCGTATTATGAAATGTTTCGTGGGTGACATGCAATGCAGGTTTTAACGTTCGTGGTGAACCTAGTAGCCCACCTAAAAGTGGAATAAAACCAAAATGTGGAAATAGCCTTGGCCGCAATAAGTTACTTGAAGGATAAGGTAAACCAACATACTCCTGAATTTCTGGCTTACTCATATATTGGTTTTGATTAACAAAGTTCTCGTTGCATGGCCTGCATGGCATAGTTGGATTATAGCAGGGTATTGTTACAATAATGCAAGGTAACGGCAGCCGCGGTTCTGGTGGACAGGTTTTACTATATTTATTTGATGGTGCTACTAGCACCGATTTTGGTTCATTGCTAAATTCGTTATACTTGCTCTCCCTTGCATATTTTCCTGATGTGCATGCATACGGAGGACGTTGTAAATAGAGTTTTGATCCTATGTGTCTAATTTGATTGGATAATAGCTGATGAGCGCAATTGGCAACTTCAGAAAATATATCGGGAGTTCGTGTTGTCCCTACTGGTCGGTTATACATTGAGTTATAAAATTGTTGCATGACCGGGTCATCTGCGTAAGGCGATGTATGTGACTCAGCAGATAATTGATCTTTACTACTCGATGACGGCGAAGACTGAAAATAACTCAACTTATGGGAAGTCAACTCCGTAATGGGCATTTTAAATACATTTGTATCAACAACTTGCAACAGTTCTTTGGGTATTTTTCTGTGTATATCTGAATTCTGTGTATTGAATTTTGTTGCTGATACTTCCTGTATATATCTAGGTACTGCTGATTCAATGGAATTATTTATTGAATTAAATAATTTTGGCAAAGGGACTGGCGATGCACTAGACGAAAGATCTAAATATTTGTCCGGAATGAAATTAGGTTTTGACTCCGAATTTTTAGAATCGAAAGTATGACTTTTTGATAGCTCAAATGAAAATGTCGGTGACGGTGGACTCAGGTTTATGAATGGTATATCTCTAATACCCGCATGGTTATCTGGGTAGTTACCTCCTGGCTTTATGTTCCCATTGTTGTATTTCAACTTATTGTATAAGGATGTCAAAGCCAACGGAAATTGAAGGTCATTTGGTACCCCGGACGCTGATGACACTCCATATGCAGAGTGGGCCGACATCATTCCGATACTTTGGAGATATGTGGTAGCATATTTGGGTAAGCTGAAGTCAGCAAAAATGTATCTGTTTTGTTTTTGACTGTGATTCCTTTTTCGAGGTCGGTCGTCAGTATTTATTTGCTCGTTTGCGTCGAAAAATAGTATATCGTTTACTCTCAACCCATATATAATATTCGGAATATTTTTGCTCGAAAGTTGAGGCATTAGTAGTTGTGAAGTATAGGGAATTCTCGCACCTTTACACATTAGATATGATTCTCCGTGTGAAGGACTACACTTTATTTCTGCACAAATCGTTGTCAAAGTCTGCCGTATTCTATTCTCAAAAGAATTGTGGTATTGATACCGAGCATCTGATGGCAGTGGAAAATATGAAATTAGTAACAAATTGTAATATAGAAATACATTTTGTTTTCTGTGTAAGTTCATCTTAGTTACAATTTGCAGGGAATTAAATTTTTTTCTAGCTCGTCAATGTTGATGCAGATACACATGTAAAACATTCGCGCTTGTATGGAGATTTGCACTGTAAAAAACAATAATATTCAACACTATAGTTCAGTTTTTTAATAATCTAATTATGTTTTTACATGCATATAAAATTGTCCACAAATTCTTTAGTAAATGTTTGAAAGCGATTGCTTCTTAAGAAGTTATTGAAACCTAATGAGACGCGTGCAATGTTAAAATTGATGTTGATCCACAAAACAGATTCAACCAGCAAGTTTTCTTCTTTAAAACCAAAATTTTTATTCCGAGAATGGAAAGGATCAAATTTTTGCAAAGTAATACTTATTTCCATCTGATTGCGTCAACATATGCAACATGTAACATTATGATAAACAGCAATAATGAAACTTAATGATAAAGTACTTTTTTACTCACATACATATCACGTGTCTACATGTATGCTTATCAGGGCCGGCATTCATCATCCAAGCGCCATGCTTTTCATTTGCCGCCCTGTATTTTATTATATTACATGTAATGCGTATTTAATTGTGTAATTTAAATCCATTTATTCACTAAGCGATGTATCCGTATTGTAAGTATATTGTTAACCATTTGATGAAACAAAAAAGTTAAACACAATTTTTCTTATTAGCTGTTTTGTCAACAAACTTCTTGAAACCTGCAATCACACAATGGTTCAGAACTCAATTTTAATGCAAATTAAATCAAATTTCTGACATAAACAAAAACACCACTGATATTTACAGTAAAATATGTCGGTGATACTAAAACCAGAGAATTATTCCGAAAAGCTGGGTACTTTTGACGTATAACGTTACAAAAGTCAGAAAACTTTTCATAAAAAAATTTCGAAAAAAATATAGTAATTTCTTTACTAATTACTAATTTCCCATTTACTTTCAGCTACTTTTATTTGCTCTTACTGGTTTTTCTATATTACATTTGCAAGCGAAAAGGGGAATTAAAGATTATTTACTTTAAGTTACATCTCGTTTTTTAGGAAAGATTATTTTTTTCAGGAAAAACTTTTCCACCGAAGATTTAAAAAACATGCAAGCGATTGCAAGTTTTGAAAATATTACTATTTTGTAGTTCCAATATTATTGTAAAGAAAAAACAAACCCCCTTTGTCCACCTGTTTATACAACTATCGGCTTGTCAGAAGTTAGTTGGCCAAATTTTCATGCATCAGTACTACTTGTATATTTTTAATGTATATCGTCGATGTTTTTGCAAAACCGCCCATCGATCAATTGCAAAACCGCCTATCTCTCAAATTTTACAGGAGAGCGGAAGGCATTGCCTTGATAGGCGGTATTTACTCTAGCTATTATTTTACAAATCTGTTGTTTTAATAACGATTTTACGATTGTTATGCATAAATCTTGATGCCTGGAGTTCAGGATTACCAAATCTAAATTTTGTCACAATGACGATTTATGCGATTTTGCAACTGGTCGGTGGTCGGTGCAAAAACATCGACGATATTATTATTATAGGGCTATTCGCGATCCGGTGCAAATGGCCTAGCATCATTGCATTGCAAATTTGTATTGCAAATTATTTGCAATACACAAACAAAATGCACGCATTTGCATTTGTCATGGCTTGGCAAATTTGTAATACCGAAAATCCATTGCATAAAAATGCTATGCATTGCATTCATAAACAAAACCAAAGCTGTTGCACAAAAATTGTTTTGCAAAAGCTTTACCATGACAGTTTAATAAAGGTGGCTCACAATCCATGGCATATTTCTGCAATTGCATAAATTTGTCAGCTCTTATGCACCGAATCGCGAATAGCCCTTATGTATTATCATATGGTCTTGCAAATGCATATTCCGGTGAACTTGGAAATTGTATTGTTGTATTGTGCACGTTTACAACAATACAATTTGGAAAAGCACCGAAATATGCACATGCAAGATATGGTTTAATATATCGAAATAAATTAAATAACTTATTTTGTCCATTTTAAATTTATAACTCTCCATTTGACAAACATCTGAGCCTATTTGGACTAAAAATAATACGAGTAATATATGGGCCATTCCAGCGAAGACGACACCTCAGATAAAAAAAAATACATAAATTGTGTTTAAATCTGTAAAAACAGTAAAGCAGGTAGAATAAATCTTTAGAAATAGATTCTTATCCATTTATTTTTCATTATCTTCTCTATTTTATTGTTATAAATGCATACATAATATACTGTAATATGTTTGCAACAAGTTCTCAAGGCATTTCTCATCTAGCCATTTCTCATCAGGCCATTCTGGAATCGAAGGCAACGAGATCGCTGATGAGTTGGCACGTGAAGGATCGCTTACTGCCTTTTCGGGACCTGAACCATTCTGTGGTCTCAGTTGGTCCTCTTCGAGAGCCATAATCACTGAGTGGGTACACTCAGAACGCAGTAAGTACTGGGGAGCGGTGGGGGGTCTTAGACAGGCCAGGCTATTCGGCTACCCCTTTAACAGGAACGACATCGTCCTAAAAAACAGAATTGACATCAGCTTACTTTCTGGGTATCTGACTGGTCACAACCAATTGCGGTTCCACTTACACCGAATAGGGGCGATCACAGAGCAGGAATGCCGGCTCTGCCTCGAGGCCGATGAAACTTCGGAGCGTATTCTCTGTAACTGTCCGGCTTTAGCCAGACAAAGACTGATTTACTTTAAATCTTCGTTGGTCGAACCCTTTGTTATAAGGAATTCGTCTACCAAGCCCCTTTTAGGATTCATAAGGAAAGCCGAAGGTATCTTGGCCACATTGGGTTAGAGACTCCTTTATAGAGATACAAAAGATCTTTTAGGTCGCGTTGTCTCTGTTCTATTACACCCAGTAAATTAACTAACTATTTCTCATCTACTAAAGGTGGCAATGCAAAAAATAATTATCCAAAAAGAATTTCATGAGCTTTGCAATGGTAGTAAGTTCTTGGAAAAATACATTTATGGTGAGAAGTTATAAGCGTTCAAAAAATGCTTATTGGATGTCCCACCCGTCACAGCAAATTATGATTTTTTTTAAGGTAATATACAAATTCTTAGGTTTCCCATTTTTTAAATGAGGTCCCCCTATTAAAAATGTAGTAAATATTCACATAAAACCACCAGTGTTTATTTTACTCACGAACTATGTGTCCTCACCCGTCGCAAGCAAAAACTATTTTTTTTTTTTTAAATATAATAATTAAAGCATAAAATGGTACTTAACATTCCACTAACTACATTCGGGACGGCCGCTATGAACGAAATATTTATAGTTTGTCTAAAATTGGAAAACGAATAAAACAACTCAGATAAGCGGGTGTCATCGTTGTCCCACCCGTCACGCTTGGAAAATGTTAAATTTCTGTGTAAATTGTATAATACAATTTTATACTTTATTAGTTTCGTATTAAACTGATATCTGACTTC